TTTTGTCTCTCTTTATTTTATGTTTTTTTTTCATATTTACCGTTATTTTTAAAGAAAACAAAATTTTTTGCTTTGGAAGAGTAATTAATATGGAATAGAATTCTTTGGCTTACAATTTTTTTTTTTCTGGCACTCTTTGATTAGCTAATATGTGAAATTATGGGGATGTATGAAGACTTAAGTCCCTAACTGTACATATATAYRTACATATGTATATATGTACATATGCACGAACTATATATATAACTATATGTATGAACCTAGTTAAAAATTTATTATTACTATTAATATATTGTTACCCATTATTGAGTGCAATTCGCTTTGTATTTTTGGTTATTGTACGTGTGGGGTCTGACGTTTAAAATTCGTTTAAACGGTATAAATAAAAAGATACGTTAAGTGAGTAAATAATATTTTTTTCATGGCAGCTACCACTTTAGATTAAAAAGTGCACTGCTAACAGAGATGATGAAAAATGCTTGCAAATTGGAAAACCGAAGTACAAACAGGTAGAGTTACTAAATACATATGTGCATACATAATACACCATATATTTTATACCCACTCTCGTGACTTGCTATTTAGCAGGCAATAAGTGCCCCCGACTACAGGAGAATGTTTACAGCTGTTTGATGACAAGTGATGCTTAAATTATTTGTTTTGTTCGTTAAAATGGCGACTTTTGTAATTTTTATTGCATTATTGCCTTGCAATTAAGTGTTTATTAACCGACTGTCTGCGCAAGCATATACAATAAACGCGAAATTATAAACACATTTACATGTATTGATATCAACGCCTACATACGCTGAAGTACATGCATATGTATATATGTTTGTTTGTACAAATGCATGTAAGCAAAAAAAAAAAATAATAATAAAAACACGAGGAGGTGTTTAATGACAAGGCAACAAGGTAAATTGGTGCATATTTTACGTACAGCAGACGGAAATATGACGTAAACACATTATAAACATTTGTGTGTACATACATACATATGTATGTATCATATTACTTGAATTATGTATACATTTATTGAGCAAATTCGAAAAATGTAACTGTATATTATAATATAATATTATTAGGAAATACTTTCGCATAACCAAGACTAATCTTTGGGTTCAAAATATCGAATAAAAGTTGATTTTATTATAACTTATTATTTTTATTTACATTTAGAAATTAATAATAAATTATTTCATGAATATTAAGTTTTCTAAGACATTTTTTAATCACTATCTATGAGTCTACTAACTATTAAGTTAGTTGCAGAGTCTGTATATATTGACAATTTGGTACATAATCGCTCGCTATTCGTTGTCGAAAGCTGGCGAAAAAGTTACCAAGAAACGCATAAAACAGTAAAAGTGCAAACAAAAATAAAATCACAAAAAGAAACGCACACACATAAACCTGTACACACATTCTGGTTTTCATACATTTCCCTTGGTTTTTGTGTTTAACCGCATGCTCCCCCCTGCTATCACTACTCAAGTTTGAACTAAACACTCCATCTTGTATGTGTGCGCCTGAAGTCACGACGCCGATGGAGGCGTTAAGTAAGGCGTTAACACTGCTCTAGCCACTTTTGTACTCGTTTGCACTTTTACTAAACCAAAGTTGGCTTCCACAGTCCTACAAAAATATACATACATATGTATACGTTACGTATGGGTATGCGTATGTGCATTTTCATGTTTTGTCATTTTCTTCCTTTCTTCGTCCAGACTCCAACAAACAAACATTGTTACACATTTTGTTTGCTTTTCACATACCTTTACACGCTTTTGTTATTGTTTTGAATATTGTTTTTTTTTTTCTTTTTTTTTTTTTTTTTAATTTCGTCAAATTTCTTCGTGCTTGCTCATTTCACACTGCCAATTATCAGTGGCCACGTTGTGCTTGCGCTACATATGTTTTATTGACTTTTCTTATGTCGCTTTTTGTTTTTCATATTTCGTTTTGATATTCTTCTTCGTTTGCCTACGTGATATTTACCTCTGTTAGGTTTCATACTTCTGTGAAGTAGCGCAAGTTTTGACGTCGCTGTTGCTGGGGTTCAGTCGCAGCGCTGTTGCTTCGTCTTGCGGTTCCTTACAAGAATACGTGACTGCACGCCGGTTTTCGTACAAACTGAGTAACATTCATAAGGTTTGTGCAAACATTGGTTTGAACTCTGTTTTATACCGAATGTTACGAAATGGGGAAACTTATTTGTTTCAAAACTATTTTGGCATTTTATTTATTCACAATAAATAACTATATAAGTCAAAAGTAGGTTTTAATTCAGGTGTTAAATAAATAACGC